TCCATCCCTCGTGAGGGGCATATCCATCCCTCCTGGGGAGACGAACGTCTTCCAACTCTCCCCCGCCTGTGGTCTTTCACGGCGCGTCCGCCTAGACCCCTCAGGCAATTACAGATTCCAGAAACGAGCTCACACTGAACAGAACACAACGACACACACCTACCGCGGTCAGTCAGACTCTACTGATCGGGGTCCCTCGATGGTCTTGGGGATCCCGGACGAGCCCCCAAATGTTGTGCCCAGATTTCAAGATTCCCAAGGGCCCACCAGGGAGCCAGCGAGTCCGATGCAAAAGCAAAGAGTCATTTATTCCAAACCTAGGTTTGGCTCCCCTGCCCCCCCTTACTGGCACAGCAGCAAGTGGCAGAGAGCTCATTGCTTTTCTTGTTATAGTTCTTTATTGGTGTATGATATTGAGCATCTTTTAATGTGCTTATCTTTTTTTTTAATATATTTTATTGATTTTTTACAGAGAGGAAGGGAGAGGGATAGAGAGTTAGAAACATCAATGGAAGAGAAACATCGATCAGCTGCCTCCTGCACACCTCCTACAGGGGATGTGCCTGCAACCAAGATACATGCCCTTGACCGGAATCGAACCTGGGACCCTTAAGTCCGAAGGCCGACGTTCTATCCACTGAGCCAAACCGGTTAGGGCGATGTGCTTATCTTTTATCTGTATATCTTTGGTGAGATACTTTATGATCATTTTAAATTGGGTTCTTATTGATGTTTTAAGAGTCATTTGTGTATTTTGGATATATCAGATATATGTTTTGCAAATATTTTCTCCCAGTCTGTCCTTTGCCCTTTGAATTCTATTAACAATGATTTTGGAAGGGAAGTTTTTAATTTAAAAGAAGTACAACTTGTCGGCTATTTTTTCATGGATTGTGATTTTGGTGTTGCCTCTAAAACTTCATCACCAAAACTCTGGCTCTCTAGGTTCTCTTTTATTTTATTTTCTAGAAGTTTTATAGTTCTCCGCATTTACATTTACATCTGTGATTCATTACAAGTTAATGTTTGTGAAAAGTGTAAAGTCAGTGTCTAGATTCATTTATTTGTATATGAATATCCAATTCTAACACCATTTATTGAAAAGACTATCTTTACTTTATTGAATTACCTTTATCTCTTTATGAAAGATCAGTTGACCATATTTGTATGTGTCTCTTTCTGGGCTCTCTATTTTGTTAACATTATCTGTTTGTTCTTGCACTGGCATCACGCTGTCTTGATTACTGTAGCTTTATAGTTAGCCTTCAAGTTCCATAGTGTCAGTCTTTCAATTTTTTGCTTCTTCAATATTGTTTTGGCTATCCTGGGTACTTTGTATTTCCATATTAACTTCAGAATCAATTAACTACAAAATACTGGGAACTTTTATGTTCAATTGTGGGATTTTGTGTTGAATCTGTATATCACATTGAGATGATTCAGTTTAATTATATTGAATCTTCACATTCATGAACATGGAATATTTTTCCCATTTATTTATTTATTTAGGTCTTTCACCAGGATTTGTGGTTTTCCTCATGCAGAACTTACACCTATTTTGTTAGATTTATATCTAAGCATTTAAATGTTTTAGTGTTAGTGTGAATAGTATTATGTTTTTAATTTCATGTTCCAAGGGTTCATTGCTGATATGTGGTGAAACAAATGCCATGTGTGTATTACTTGTATCTTCCCACCTTGCTATAATTGATTATCAATTCCAGGAATATATCTATTCTTTGGGATTTTCTACATACACAGTCATGTCATCTGCAAACAAAAAAGTTTTATTTCTTGTCTATTTCTATCCATACCTTTTATCTACTTTTTTTGTCTCATTGCATTAGTTATTCACAGGCTCTGTTTAAGTATTGATCATAAAATTAACTGATATTATACAAACTTTCTTAATATGAATTAGGTCTTCACTAAATAATAATTATTTCTATCTCCCTCTCCCTCTTCCTTCCTCTCTGAAATCAATAAAAATATATTTTTTAAAAAAATAATAATAATTTAATTTTTGATATTTCTTCTGTTTCATTCTTTTTGTCCTTTCTTAGAATTATTCAGTTATTAAACTTTTGTTCTCATTTCTTCATGTCATTTCGCCATGTTGCTCTTCTTTTATCTTTTTCTTCCTCTTCCTCAGAATTCTATCGTATCACCAATGTGCTTTTCTTCACCATTAGTTCTGTTGTTTGCTTCTTGTAATGTAATGTCACATTTTAGTTTTCTAACAATCCTTCTTGCTTGTCTAGCTCCTTGTCCTGAACCTTCTGAGTCTGCTGTTTTGTGTTTGTCTGGGTCTGGCTTAAATAGCTTGAAACATTTTTTTCTATATACGTTTTCAGTACTAATTAATCTTTATCGTCAACCTGCCTTTCCTTTTCTTTCACGTTACATCTTTTTTTTTTTAATGAATTCCTATGTCAACTTTTTCTGCTTACTCAGGTTTAAAGAAGGACATGGCCATTACAGCATAGTATTTATCAGTTAATAAAATGGATAGACTATTGGCATAATGACAGTTTATCCAGTTGTTGCTACTTCTTAAACTAGAGCCCTCTTCTGGTACTCTGAAGTCATTTATTTAATGTGACTTCACTGGAATATGGAAGAATCCCTTACTTGGTATTGTATTTTGGTATAATTTAATTTATGCTTGCTGCACTCCAATATTGAGAGGTCAAAGAGCTGAGGATCATTGTTTATCTGTGTCACTTTTGTAATTTGCTTTGCTTGGGACTATCCTAAGATATAAAATAGGTTATTCTTAGACAAGAACGCTCATTAATTTAATTATGTAAATTAAAATTTAAAAATAAGATTCCAGCAGTATGCTGTTATTAAATATTAATAACATTATACTTTGTCTGAAATATAAAAATTCAAAATCTGCAGTTGATTAAGGGGTTTGAGGGTGGTGGTTAAGGGGGCCTAATAGATGGTGAAGGAAGATAATTTGACTCTGGGTGGTGGGAAAAATAATATACAGTTGATTGATAAATATCATAGATAATGTGGCTTGTTGTACTTCAAACATTTCGTTCCAAATGACAGATTGGACCCTGGAAAATACTGTTCTTTATAAAAACAAATTACTGTAAACACAAACTTAATAGATGGTTAAATAGGATGTTTCTTCTGATTGATGTTTCTTCTACTTGCGTATTGCTGAATGTTGTGTTTATTAAAGTATTTAGAAATAGTAATTTTAGTAAGCATAAAAATCCCTAGATGCTGGATGATCTAAGCAAACTCTCCTAGTCGATTTGTAAAATTAGTTTTCAGGTACAAAAAATGTGGAAACAGGGTGGCCATATTGGAGTAACATTAATAACCAACTAGCTTTTTAGTATATTATATAGTTTAAAATATTTGAAAAGGTGACATTATATCCATGAGAAAACTGACTGAAATTATACAATTGGTTATCTAGCTAATTACATACTAAATTTTAGCAGTATTCAGATTGGAACAAAAATTATATGAAGACATACTTGCTAATACATTTAAATTATTGTTTTAGTACACACACACATCCCATTAAAAAGTCTGTGAGTTGATCTAGGCAAATCATGACAGCTTAATGCCTAATGTAAAATCTGGAAAGAGGGCCCTATGAACCTGTTATAACTCTCTCTATGCATATGTAGAATGAAGGTACTATTATTAACCTTATTTCATTTGGTAAAGAAATTGAAATGCTTTTCAACAATTCAGCAGACATAAAATAATTTAAATCATAAAATCAGAGCTTGAGATATATAAGTGTTATATAAATAAAATATCAAGAGGTGGGGGCAAGAACATAGCCGATTACTAAAAAAATAGGGCGAAAGCCCAAGTTTATGTCCTCTGGGGACAAACTCTTGTAGTATGGAAAGACTTGACCCAAAGGCAGAGAAGCACCACCTCTTCTTCTGACAGTTCTTCATAAAGAATTTCACATCTCAACCAGGCTTTAATGCATATAACAATTGATATTTCCATATTGTCCCTTATAAAGAGGACCTGGAGTGCCACTGTTATGTTTGATATCCTGTTGTGCAACCTAGTAATTTAAAATGAGGATATTTGTTTCTTCCTATTGCACAAAGATGCTACAGTGACAGATAGAGGATAGGCTATTGTAAAAACAAATAGTATTTTGTTTTTCAAAATAGTTTACCAGTCATCCCAGTGACTTTTTTGAATAATTCCTTTTGTTCTCACTAAATTTTGATGCCATCTTAATTAATTTTTTTCTATATGCTGTGAGTGGTAAGATGTCACAATTTAAAAAGTATAATAAAAAATGTAAGTATGTAGATTAGAAACCTGTAATTATAAAAATGTGCAGCTTTATAACTGAACAGTTTAAGGTGGTATAATAATCTCTGTGAATATTTTAGTAGTAATCTATATATGTAAAAGCCTAAGCAACCAGCCGACCAGCCAGTAGCTATGATGTGCTCTGACCACCAGAGAGCAGACGTTCAACGCAGGAGTGGAAACCACAGGCATGGAAACATGGAGCAGATTGATGAATCTCAGAGGGAAGAGGGGAGTCAGGGAAGAGATTAACCAAAGATCTTATATGCATACTAGAGGCCCGGTGCATGGATTCGTGTACCCGTGGGGTCCCTCAACCTGGCATGCGGGGATGAGGCTGAAACCAGCAGTCCGATATCCCCCGAGGGGCCCTGGATTGCGAGAGGGCGCAGACCAGGCTGAGGGACCCCATTGGTGCACGAATCCAAGTATTGGGCCTCTAGTTATTATAAGTATATTAGTAGTAGGAATAATTTTTTCATTATAAGCACTAAGTTTCTGTAATAAGGACTTTCTCTGTATACCTAGCAAATAACAGAGGGAACTAAAGAATCTGCAATTGTATTTGTTAATTTAAAGTGGCAATCTGTTTATATCATTTCCACTATTCATAGTTTAAAAAATAAGGGCTTATTAACTTTTAGCTATCATTAACTATTTTGTAAACTTTTAATATTGTTTAGCTAATTAACCATGCTTTGAAAGAATTAATGGAGGTAGAAGACGTGAGTGAAAATGTATTACAAGTTCACCTAAATGGTAAGTGTGTCATTATTTTGCCACTGGAACTAATATAAATCATGTGCGCTTTTAATATTATGAAACTAAATCCACTTGTATGTTTTAAACTTGGATTCATAATTATATTTTTAAAACTAGATGTATGTCTAATAACTCTTAGCACACCATAAACAATATTTTTAGAAACTAAATAAATAAATAAAGGATGCACATAAAGACTTTCGGTTTTCTTGTGTGTTTTTTTCAATAACCCTAACTCCAGAGAAGATTGTTCTTTGATTCTATTAGATGTCTTCATTACTCAGGTGTAAAATGAAATATAAACTTACAGTCTGTGACTTTTTTCTTTCTAGTTAAATTTAAAAATCATTAAAAATTATTTGATTGGAAAATAACCTCAAATACATATTTCATTTTAATTAAATGCTTTTAAATGGGCTTTGTTTCAGGACTGCTGCAGATCAATGATAAAATAGCTCTAAAGGAAATCACAAGGCAGTTAAATCTGGAAAATGTAGTTGGAGATAAAGTTTTTGTACGTATAACTTCTATTTTTTTATTAAATAGTCATCAAAATAAAGTCTGTATTGTTATTGCTTTATGTTTTTGTCATAAAAATGTATTAAGTACTAGGGTGCATTTATTTATCAAAACCAGGTTTATGTAGATACTGAGTTTGTTTATTTGTAAGATAAATATTCTGATTCTCTGTCTTTGGAGATAAATTAATGTTTTTAAAAATACTATACTCTAGCAGTCTATTTCTAGTCGTCTGAGACTTGGGTATCATAGGAGTGGTGGAAAATGTGCTGAATTTTACACTACAGGAAAGGTGGATTTTAGTCTTGCTTTACAGCCTGGTGAGAATGATTAATGAATCCCCGTGAATTTCAGGTCCTCCTCTGTTCAATAGGCATTATCTTAAACTTACTGCGCTAATTTATTTAGCAGACAAAAGAAAGCATTAAACATAATTTATGTTTTAATAAAAGATACTTGATGGTAATACACTATACATATGCCGGTTATCTCATACTATTAAAATGTTTTCAGATACTTGCCCATATCTCATTATTGTAATAGCTTGGAATCTAGGACAATGAATGTCATAACTTAAAAGAAACTGATTAGAAATGTTTTGAAACTTGAAAATTTTTTGGCCTATCACTTGATTTATAGGGCTCAAGGGAACAATGATTAACTTAATTTTCAACTTCTTTAATTTTCATGATGAAATGACTTATCCTTATACTACCTATGCATTTGAAGTGGGTTATATAGGTCCAAGTTCATTTTCTGGTCTCTGGTAATCATGCAGTGCTGTCACCCTCCTATGCAGCTTCACAGCCATGGTTGTGAAAGCCTCCTAGCATGTTGTGATTCATTCTTTTGTAATTATCTCTAAAAACTTGAGCCCAATCATATGTTACCCTTTCACTGTCTGCAGGTCTCTGAAGTGGAAGTTCAGAATGCCCCTTCTATTAATGTTCTATCTTCTGTTAGAATTTAATGTTGAAAATAGTCTGCTACTTGGTCAAGGAGAATTACTGTTATAGAGGCCCTGTTTTGCTTTTAGTTTCCTATTGATGTAAGATTGGTGTTTCCAACTTGCATATTGGATTCATACGAAATAATAAAAAGGCATCATTGTTTATCATCCTAGTCATCACTTTTGGTACCATAATTGTCACATAGAGATATTATTAATTTAACTTCTACATTGTATTCATTAGTCAGTCATCTGAGGCTCAGAGAGCATAAAAAGCTTGCCTAAAGTCGTAAAATAACAAAGGCTGGGCATTAAGAACCTGAGACACTTATCTCAATCCAGAGCTTTTCTGTTCTGATATCCTTACAGCAAATTTGTATATTTTTATACGTATATATATATATGTATATTTATATAAGTACATATATGTATTTATGTATTGAATAGGTATATATTTAATGTATGTATAATATGTACATATGTATTTGTATAGGTATATATCTAATGTCATGTACAACATTCTTTTAAAAAATATCCGGAAGAGAAGCAACCTTTGAGTAACATTGACCACTGATTTCCTAACAAATTGTCTCTGAGCCTTTGTTTATGTTATGGTAACTACCTCTAGCCCTGCTTACCTTGGAATAGTGTTGACGTGGCAGTTTGCAATCATCACAAAATATATGGAAACTCTTAAAAACTTACGCTATTTTATATCAGTTCTCTCATTAGGAAACAAATAAATGGGTTTCCTCTCTCTTCTACATCTCAAACTTAAAGTTGGCTGTTTCTTTAAATTAAAAAATCCGAAGTATAGTAATGATTTTAATGAAAAAATATTTTAATAGGGCCTTTATCCACAAGCTGTAACATCTGGATAATACATCTGCAACTCTACATTTTTATCTGGAATGTTTAAGTTGTATGTAAAAATGTTTTGGTTGTGGTTCGGTTAGCCAAATTTGATATGATAATATATATTGTGTAAAATGCTCTTGAATAGAGATTCACTATTATAGTATCTAATATTTGAGGCAAATTTCTTCTCCCTTTTACTTTTTGATCTCATTTAAATTCATTTTTTAGTGGTAGAAATTAATTTGTGACTTTCAAGAGCCTGATGTTTTTGACGATACAAAGTGCAATGGATTTCTAATTCTCTGACTATATTTATAATATAGCAACTCTTAATAGCCCCAACCTGGTGGGTCTGTTGGTTGGCGCATCATCCCGTAAACCAAAAAGTTTGTGGGGCGAGTACAGGAGACAAGTGATCAATGTTTCTCACATCAGTGTGTCTCTCTCACATCACTGTTTCTATCTAAAAATCTAAAATCAATGTACATATCCTCAGATGAGGATAAAAAAAAAACTCCATTTAAATAACATTAACAGTTTTATATATTTTATCAAGAAAATAGAAAATTTTAAACACTACGAAGTAATGTCACTTTCAGAGCTATGCCATCTCTGCTTTTATATTTAAGTTTTATATTGTAAGCATAGATATATTCAACTGAGAATCTGGCCAATGACTCTAATCCTATATAATAAAGCCTAATATGCTAAGTGTCCAGTCGACTGGTCTGCCATTCAACCAATCAAAGCATAATATGCTAATGATATGCTAAGGCTGCTCAACCTCTCACTATGATGTGCACCAGCCATCAGGGGGCAGACAGTCGACTGGTCGGCCAGTTGCTATAACGTGCACTGACCACCAGGGGGCAGACGCTCCAACCAGTAGGTTAGCTTGCTGCTGGGGTCCAGCCTATCAGGACTGAGCGAGAGGGACTGGACATGCCCTAGAGCTCTCCCATGGTTCCTCCCCAGCTGGCCAACCTCCTGTGTCTCTCCCCGGCCCCGATCAATCATGCACCAGTGGGGTTCCATGGCCTGGCCTGCACCTTCACAATCCGGGACACCTCAGGGGATGTGGGAGAGCCAGTTTCAGCCTGATCCCAGAAGTCTGGCCAAGGGACCCACTGATGCATGAATTTGTGCACCGGGCCTCTAGTTTACTATGAAAAATGAGTATATATATAATGTCTAAGAATTAGATACAGGGTATGTCTACATAATGTTTAAGGGCCAGATAACCTTTCTGTTTTTTTATTTAATAAACTTCTAGTCATGGTATTTGTTTGTTTGTTTTTTGTTTTTGTTAGGGAAGCTTTGCTGAAAACCTTTCATTTATTCTGGAAGCTTTAAAAAAAGGTAAATATTAATATATTTAATAGTATCAAACATATTTGTTTAGCTGTAGTTTCCCCTGATTATAAAGATAATAACATGATTTTACAAAAAAATTAGTAAAGAAATATTAAAAAAGAAAATAATAGTCACTATATTCCCACACTATTATAGTGATTATCTCAATTTAACTTTGGTTTTATGTCTTTATTCATCTGCAGTATATCTTTGATATAAGTAGTTAAGTAATTTTCATAAGAATACATTTATTTTCCATATTGTGTAGTCTACATCTTTTCATTTACAAACAGTATATTGTGAGCATTTTTCCATGACAGTAAAAAATGCTGCATTATCATTTTTATGGTTCTTATATATTTCATTTTATAAATATAAATTAACTTTAATTAAAAATATACATTATAACTTATTAACCACCATTTATGGGCTTTTATTTCTAATTTTTGTAATTATGAAGAAATTCATAGATAGTCATCCAGATATTTCCTGGGGAAAATTTCAGTGAGTAGAATTCTGGATTAAAAGGTACAACAATTAAACTACCTTAGAAGGCCCATTTTCTAAACATATTTCAAGAATACCTTTTTCTTAACAATTTCAAAAACAAGTATTTATTTTTATATTTGTCTATTTAATAGAAAAATTCTTAGTTTAATTTGCTTAATTTTGGTAATGATGATCATCATTTTCTGTTTTTATTGACCATTGACATTTCCTGGTTCATGTGTTTCCTATGGTTCTGTCTTATTTTGATGTTTAGCTTATTTGTTTGTTTGTTTATGGGAATTCTTGCACTTAAAAACAACACTTAATGTTTCTCTTCTCTTAAATTTGGGTTGGATTATCTGCTGAACAGAGTTTTAGAATTTTTACATAGTCAAAATTTTTTCTCTCCAGATTTAAAAATACTCAATTATGTTTTCATCTAATACTTATAATTAATAATTTGGCTAGAATTTATTTTGGTAAGGTGTAAAGTGAAGCTTTAACCTTGAATAAACCGCTTTTCCCCATTAATATGTAATGCTATGTTTTACCAATACTAAATTTCTAATAATGTAGGCCTGTTTCTAGACTTCTGAGCAGTTCCTGTGGTTTTTATGCCATTTTGGTTAGTGTTAAATGTTTTATTACCTGTTCGAGTGAGTGTCCCCTTATCAGATTTTCTTGTTACTTGTTTATGCAAGTATAAAGCCCTAAACCCTAAAGCAGTAGTGATTCTTTTGCTAAAGCTGATTCTGTTGTGATGAGAACAATGAATTCACAGAGTCATGTTGAACTTTTCCCATTTGAATATTAAAGTTGTGGTTAGAAGGAATTATAGTGGTTCTGATTGAATTTCACAGTCTAACCATTGTTTATAAAAATCATTTCTAAGGGAAGATATACTTTGCATTTCTAGCTAAATGAATCTTTTCTGAAATAATAGTTTTGAGCATAATGACTCTTTATATTTAATCTCAAAATGATTTGGTCTGTGTAGGTATTAAAAGTTCTTTGTAAATTTTCTGGTGCTAGAAGGACTCTGTTTACATAATTTTAAAAACAATAGTCTCCATTTATTTAAATCATTTTCATCAATAAACTACTAGTAACTAGACTGAAATACTTAAGGCTATCTTGTCCTGTGAGTAATTTTGTTGAATAAATAAATTGATATGCATTGTTAAATATCCTACCCGAAGTAGGTTATCAATAATTGTTTGTTGAATTAAGTTTTAAAAAGTGAAATGTAGCCCTGGCTGGTTTGGCTCAGTGAATAGCCTGTGGACTGAAACGTCACAGGTTCGATTCTGGTCAGGGGCACGTGCCCAGGTTGAGGGCTCGATCCCCAGTGGTGGGCTTGCAGGAGGCAGCCGATCAGTGTGATTCCCTCATCATTGATGTTTCTATCTCTCTTTCCTTCTCCCTTCCTCTCTGAAATCTATAAAAATATATTTAAAAATAAATAAAAAGTGAAATGTAGTAAATAGTATGGAAGTTTAACAAAGGTTAATATAATTGCTGTTAATAAAACTCTTATTTTATCTTAGGTGACCGGACTAGTAGTTGTCCAGTGATCTTCATATTAGATGAATTTGATCTCTTTGCTCATCATAGAAACCAAACACTCCTCTATAATCTTTTTGATATTTCTCAGTCTGCACAGACTCCAATAGCAGTTATTGGTCTTACATGTAGATTGGTAAGTCTTTTTTTTTTTAATTAAAAAATTGTAATGTTTAGAAAGTTAAAGCTTAATTATCAACATCGTCACTTATGTAGGTCATGATATCAGGCATTTTTCAAATGTGTTTCACCGATGCCTGGTGCATCTATCCCATTTTTCAAATCAGATTGAGGAAAATAAGAACACAGTTAATTACTCATACTCAAATACCTGTCTCTCCAACGGAATCACTAAGTGAAAAAAATGAAGTCAGATTATGCTAATAAATACAGTATTTCTACATTAGCAAGTAAAGAGAAAGTTAAATAATCTTACCATCACTTATTAAGTTCACCAATAGTGTATATATTTAACATTTATGATTCTTCCCATATTTGAAAATGCTTGGAATCAACTCAGAATGATACTGTTTTAACTTTGTAAATATACACCGCTGGAAATGAGGTTCATGTACTTGTTCTCTTTTTCAGTACCTCTCTGTCTTTTTTTTAGAAAAGTGAAAATTTTTACAAAGTCATCTACCAACAGTCCCCCTAGTGCTGTTTTTTCTGTCCAGTGGCTTTTCCTGCCCTCCTTCCCCAGTGCTCCAGAGTTTATGATATATGCCTTCATAATAAGCCTCCCTCGTAGAACATCGGGCTGTTTCTCCACATAACTATCCTGCCTTGCTAGAAGCAGCAGTCTGTCATGGGGATTGAGGCATCTTCTTCTTGTTAAAAAAAAAAATAAAATAAAAAATCTTCCTTTGGATGGAAGTAGCAGTGGCAAATATTGTTGATCCAGTTAAGGACCAAATAAAGCAGGAGTGGGGAATTTCTGGCCTGTGGGTCATATAAGGACCCTGAAATCATTTGGTCTGGTCCTACTAAGGCTTTTGAGTTAATTAAATGTTTGACCAAATATAGAAGGCTAATTTTTAAGTTGATAATTTTGTATGGCCCACAAATGATGTTATAAATATCCAAATGGCTTTTGGCAGTAAAAAGGGTCCCCACCCCTGCTGTATATAATTGATTTCTTAACCTAGCTGTTTTATGAAAATCATCTTGGTAGATTAAAAGTCCATATTTCTAGGGCTTATCACAGCTTCTTTCAAAAAAAATAAAACTTTTTAATTATAGAAAGTTGGCAATAAACTTGATTTCTAACTTCTTAAGGAAAAATAGCATAAATATAAGTAGTTTCTAAAATATCACCATAGAAAAGCCACAGGACAATCACATACCATGTCATGCTGTGTTTCTGCCAGTTTCTCTTCTGTAATTTGTTCCTTCGGCCTAGCATGGCTTCAGCTTAAGTTTGTGGATATTTCAGTGAACTGAACATTTCTCCATTACACATACTGCTTACTTAAGTGTTTGTTACATAAAACAATGAAGATGTTTAGATTTTCATGAATGTAATAAGTCTTAGTACAAATGTTCATCTTAATTTTTTATCTGAATTCTTCATAGAATGTACAGAATTCCTTGAAACTTTTAATGTTACTATGACAAATAACTACTCAATAATAGTTACAACTTTTTTTAGTAATTATTGTAAGTCTTAGAATGTTGAAGATTAGCTGAGATTAACATGCTAGGTAAAACGCATGACATCACCGGGCCTGCAGATTCTTTTAAAGGAAATTAAAGTAGCATGCATAACAGAATCTTTTAGAGCAGGGGTGGGGAACGTCTGGCCCTTGGACCATATAAGGCCTGAAAAATTATTTGGTCTAACCCTGCCAAGGCATTAGGGGGTGAGTTAAATGTTTAACCAAATATACCATGCTAATTTTTAAATTGATAATGTTGTATGACCAGAGAATGATGTTATAAATGTTCAAGTGGCCCTGGGCATAAAAAAGGTTCCCCATCCCTGTTCTAGAGGCTTGGTTTATTTCCAAGCCACACTCTCTTACTTCTACTGCCTTTTAGCAGTAAAGAGATCAAGGGAATAATTTGAGTATTTAGTGGTTTTCATAAATTTTGTTATGCTTAATTTAATATTATAAGATAGGCATTGCTAATTATAGGTAATAGTTTAAATACTTAAATTTCTAACATTGACTTTTTTTTTTAACATGCATCTTACAGGAATTTCTGTTTGTTTTTAAGGATATTTTGGAACTCTTAGAAAAAAGAGTGAAGTCACGATTTTCTCACAGACAGATGCACTTAATGAATTCATTTGGTTTTCCCCAGTATCTTAAAATATTTAAAGAACAATTATCTCTACCTGCAGAATTTCCAGACAAGCTTTTTGCTGAGAAGTGGAATGAGAATGTTCAGGTAACTTGGAGCAAAAGTAATAATATCAAAATGATTTTTGTATCTTGCTATTCCATTTGAAATCAAAACTTAGAAATATTTAAAATTTCTGAATTAGTACAAAGCTTTTAATGTACTATTGCATAAAACTGCATGAATACTAATTATACACTTTTTGTGTGTGCATATTATCTTCTTATACAAAACTGTTGAAATGTCATAGCTCCTGAATTTTTCTCTCAAAAGAACTTTAATGAGCTTTTTGTTTTATTTATATCTGATTTATATTTCAGGTTATTTTGTTGAAGCGTTTCCATCACAAAAATTATTTTTATTTTACTTTTTAAGTTTAGCAATATATTATGTTAGTGATTCATATCTACCTATCCAATGTGGATTTTTTCCCCCTCTAATTCTCATAAAGAACTTTATCTTTTATCTCGTCACGTCTATTAAAAGGCAATCCAGATTATGGCAGTTGTGGTTATATTATATACATTGACGAAATCCATATTGGAGTCCATGGAGCCCTGAGGTTATTAGCTACAGAGGTACCTTCATATGTTGTTTTCAAGATTTACTAAACATGTGGACTCTGTTGATTTACCTACACTTCAAGCTTAACTTCTACAGACCACTGTTATGTCAGCCCACCATATTGGCATAAAGTCTGAATTGGCATAAAGTCTGTTTGTCTTATGCCGACAAGAAATTTCAGTTGGCAGTGAGAAAGGGAGAGGAAGTTCAATAACATAATTGAAGAACAGTGTTGCTAAATAAAGCCCACATAGTAGAATCTTGCAAAAATATGGGTCCTAAGAAAGTGGAAAATAATAACAAAAAAGTCCTTCATTTTGAAAGCATTGGATAAAACTGGTATGTAGTATTAAATGCTAATGAGTGAGGATGATTAGATGTATGGATAATTAGAGTTACACAATTTATATTCACTGCTTCTAAAAAAGGATTGTTTTATAGTAAAGTAGTATTGATTTTATTCTTAAATAACAATACCAAAATAAAAATGTATTTATTTTCTCTTATATGATTCTTGTTTTTTCCCCATCTTTGTTGAAGTATAATCAACAAATTGAAAACAGTATATGTTTATGGTGTTCAATTTAATGTTTTGATGTACATATATATTGTGAAATACCACAATCAAGCTATTAAATATATCCATCACCTCACATAGGTATAATTTTTTTTTTTTTACTTTGAAGTGTGAGAACACTTAAGATCTATCCTGTATGTAAATTTCAAGGGTACAATACTATATAGTTAACCATAGTCACATTGCTTGCATAACTGAAACTTGATTCTTCTTTTAATAATAAAATATGGTCTGCTCATGTTAGCATTAGTAATTTTGACACATTTCATTTTTTCAATTAAAAGTTCATTGAACAAAATATAATCAGTTCATAAGAATATATGGTAAAAGGTAGAAGTTTTCATTATGTCCAAGCTCACCAGAGTAATTATTTAGTTTATAGCAATTCAGACTTTATGTGCAAAAACTAAACTTGTTTTTATATAAAGGGTTTAAGCTTTACATATTTTTTAAAATATGTTTTTATTTATTTTAGAGAGAGAGAAATGGAGAGGGAGAGATGGTAGCTATCCCACAACTCAGGCTTGTTCCCTGACTGGGAATCAAACCAGCGACTTCTTGGAGCATGGGTCGATGCTCAAACCATTGACCCACACTGGCTGGGCAAACTTTTCATACTATTTTTTGTTTTGCCTTTTATACTTTGTTCTGATTAATAATTCTACATTATTTTCTTGATATAATATATGGAATTGTGTGTAAAAATGGCTAACTTTATCCTTAAAATTCAGATATCGTACCTTAGTATAATTAGGTGTGGGTCCTCCCTTCCAAATTCTTCCCCAAATTAGCCTTTCCTGGGACTCAGATATTTGTTATTCAGGCACGTTTTCTTTGATACTCTAACTATAAGATTACATTTTTAGGAGCACTTTATAATTCGTGCTCTCACGTTGTCCCTTCCTTTTCAAAGGTCTGGAATCTCTGGTCTGAATCCACTTTTCAGTGAGTCACAGACTTTCCCCTTCTGCAGCTCTTTAATCGACTGTTTTGTTACAACAGTGGGTTTTCTGAGTGCTTTAGAGACTCAGATGCAATCTTTCGTAGTAAATGTTTGTGCAGTTCCAGGACTTCTATTTCTATCCTTGCTCACTTTCTTTCCTAAAATGACTGATGCCATCATCCTTCTTTCTGTCCTTCCCAGATACATTATATTCTGATCATCTTAGAGTGGGCATGTATATAAAGGAAGTATGTGGTGGGTGTTACTGGTGAAGCAAACTCTGGATGACTCAGAAAATGAGTAACCATGTGGTTGTAGAGTGGCTAGGCCTAAGTTTTTTGGTCCCCTTTTTGCTGATCCTATATCACAGAACTTAGCAGCAGATGGTAGGAATGAACATGAGCACTGCTATCCTGTCATCTTTTTGACAACCTTGTAGACTTTTATAAGGTAACACTAGTACCACTGGAGTTTGTGTCTCTTAGTTCTAATACTTTTTCCCCCCAACCTAATCATTTGCCACCTTTTGGTATGCTAATAAAAGAACTTCACTTGAAAAATATATCAGGACCATGGCCAGCGGCCCTGTCCCATGAGTGGTAGTGGGGTGGGGACTGCATTAAGGGAGCTGTTCTTTCTCTCAGTGCTGACTGTTCAGGAAGTTTTTCTGATTCCAAAGTTAAAAGCAATGGTATAGGTCATCTATGGAATCTCAACCAAGAACTATCTTTAGGATAGTGTTGAATCTAGACCTCTGAATATCATTTATACCCCAAATGAGTCAATAAGTAAGAGAGAGCATGGCAGTGTAAGAGAAATCCCTGTATAAATGAACATTTAAAAGAACCATAGCTAATTCTCCTCTAAGGAAATTTCTCCAAAGTACTATAGCTAAGTTCAAGGAAGATTTACCTATTGTCTTAAACCTATCCTGTTTAGTTAACAACAGGTGAGAAGTTTTAGCAGGAACTGACTAGGAGATTAGTACATACGCTGCTGCCTCTAAGTTATCCCTGGAGCAGCATGGGTCCTAAGGTTCAGGTGTAATTCTGTAACATTCTGCTTAGAATCTTACCTGAGGAAGGCACTGGCCTGCCACACTGTACAGTCAGCACCATGAGAACCTGCTTCTGTGGCAGCTGTTCATGTGTTCATCAGTGAGAAGGAATGGTATCAGCTTCCCTGAACAACAGAGGGGGTCTGCTTTATTTCTGGGAACTCCCCCATATTCCTGTGAGTGGTGATATCAGTCGGTCAGTTCTGTCTTATTCCCCTTACATTATTTCCTGACCCAGCCATAAGAAATTCAGTCATGTTTCAAAACCTGATATCTAATATCTTCAATAATTATCATAATTAGTTAAATGTAATAGGCATCCAGTAAGTGGTTATTGGTAATAATACCCTATCTTCAGGCAGTTTATAATGTTTGAGTTAAAGTGAAATAAAAATATGATGAGGTTTCATTTTTTAATGGCTCACAGATAGATCTTGTAAGCTTCTTTTAGGCGGACTAATTGTGGAAGCAAGAAGACGATAGCCTTCAGAAAGAAGGGGCATTGGATTCCGACCTCTGAAAATAAAGAGATGAGCAGAAAGGCAGAGTACAGAGTATAGAAGACTAACTCTCTGGCACATTATTCTACTTATTTATGTTTTAATCCTCGCCCATTGATATGTTTTTATTGATTTGAGAGAGAGAGGAAGGGCGAGAGAGAGAGAGGAACATCTATCAGTTGCCTTCTGTACGCCCTAACCAGGGATCAAACCCACAGCCCAGGTATATGCCCTGACCCAGAATCAAACCCACAACCTTTTGGTGTGTGGGATGATGCTCCAACCAACTGAGCCACCTGGAATTCTTGCTGGAAAAAAAAATATCTTGCATCAATATATTTGTCCCAGAGGATTTACTTTCGTTCTTTTTTTTTTCCTTTTTTTTAAAATATATATTTTTTAATATATTTTATTGATTTTTTACAGAGAGGAAGGGAGAGAGATAAAGAGCCAGAAACATCGATGAGAGAGAAACATCGATCAGCTGCCTCCTGCACATCTCCTACTGGGAATGTTCCCGCAACCAAGGTACATGCCTTGACCAGAATCGAACCTGGGACCTTTCAGTTTGCAGGCCGATGCTCTATCCACTGAGCCAAACCGGTTTTGGCTACTTTCGTTCTTAAGTGCTCTTATTGTAATGCAGAAAGTTCATAAGGGATTTAATGAGAGTCAATAATTGCAGAAGCCAGGACTGCGGTTATTTTTCAAGACTTTTTTATTTGAATTACTTTGCTTTATTTTAAGTTTATCTTATGTATCTCCAAAGGGCATATGACGCTGTTTATGAAAAAAGGTATGTATAGTGACAGTAAGCTCTTTCAAATAGAAAGAGAATAACTAAAACGTATAAGGAAACGGGGACTATAACTAGGGTAGTATTTTTACTGAGAACACAAAACTTTATTTCATTAGAACTTACAGTGGGAGAGAGACTTGTAGTTTTAGCTCTAGAAAATACAGAAATAATCAGTACTTAGTTTTCTCTTTTTTAAGAAAAATAATCCTTATTCTTTGCAGATGATTTATTAAAAATTAATGTCAATCTTACCCAAGACTTTCTTGGCTCTGCCAATTTTGAATTTATTCTTCTTTAATTTAATCTTTTTCAGTGCCAAGTGTACCTTATTTTTCATTAATCCTAATTTACTGCAGTCAGTTGGCTCTTTTAGATAATGCTTTTTCAAAGGGTCTCTGAATTTCCAAAGCCATTAGCTTCCTCTCAGAATATATCTCAACTTAATTAGAAAAAGTGTTTTACATCATTGATCACCACTTGCCTCTTGAAGTTTTATTCCCTTGGTTTCATTGTTCTTGCTTGTATTCTCTTCCAGTCTTAAGTATCTTTCTCAATCTTTTACTTTGCTTCTCTCTTTTCTTCTGCTTCTTAAACATTGATAATCCAAGTTTTCACTTCTTGACCTCATCTCCTCGTGGGACATTCTGTATACCATGGTATCACCTCTGATTTTTTCTTTCCCCCTCTAAACCCTTGCTCCTCCATTTCTCACCAGTTGATTCTCCATCAGACATGTCTTTTATAAATGTCTTAATTTTCTCTTGTTTTTACAACACTTTGTTAATTCAGATCTTCTTGGTCTCTTGTATGAACAGTTAGTCACTTCCAATTAGGTTTTCCTGTTTCTGTCTTCATATACAAATTATTTTGCCAGTCACTAAAACTCAGGATTACATGACTGCTTATCTTCTGTCAGTATGCCACAATCTTTCTGCTTTACTTATGCTGTTTTTTATATATATACTGGAACGTTCTTTTTTCTTTTTCTTTTTTTTTCTTTTTTCTTTTTTTTTCTTTTTTCTTTTTTTTTTTTAATGGAACGCTTCACGATTTGCGTGTCATCCTTGCGCAGGGGCCATGCTAATCTTCTCTGGATCGTTCCAATTTTTTTTTTTTTTTTAGTATATGTGCCGCCGAAGCGATATAATCTATTGACTCATACAATAAGCATTCTGCATACTTTGTTTTACTAAGTATAGTAACTCTTACTCTCTGTTGTTTGTTTTTGCTGCATTTTGATCATGCCACTGGTATCATTGTGTAGATTCCCTTTTCATACTAGAAATTCACGGTAGCAAGAATTGTATTTTATGTTTGTGTCAACTGAAATAATGTAGAAGGATAAGAAGAAAATCAATAAACTAGTAATTTGATTTTAATTTTTGTGTTCTAAGTCAGACCAATACCTATTTATTAATGAATAGAATTAATGAGGAACACCAACTAGTGAGGCACAAGATTATATTTAAGTTTTAAATTGTAAGATTCCTTAACTCTGCTTTGATTTTTCTCTCCAGTGTCTCTCAGAAGATAAAAGTGTGCAAGAAGTCCTACAGAAGCATTTCAATATCAGCAAAAGCCTGCGGTCCTTACATATGCTATTGGTTCGTATTAGCTTTGTTTTTATCATTTTTTTTATTTTTCTTTCACAAGACAATTATATTCTGTTGGGAATTCATTAAACCTATAAATTTTGGGAGAATTACCATGTTTACTACATGGAGTTCTCCAGTCTCTGTCTGTGGCACTTTTCTCCTTTTATTTAGTTCTTTGCTTTCTTTCATCATTATCTTATAATTTTTATCCTGTTTGAACATGTTTAAAGTATTTAATTTTTTAGAGCAGTTGTCCATGATGTTTTGTTTTTAATTTTGGTTTCAGCATGCTCTTTGTTAGTATATAGAAAAGTGATTGATTTTTGTATGTTGATGCACTCTGCAAACTTGCTGAACTCATTCTAGGAGTTTTTTAGATTTCTTGAGATAGTCATATCATCTGCAAATAGAGAGGTAGGTTTTTTTCCCCTTACCAATCTGATTATATTTTATTTCTTTTTCTTGTCTTGCAACATCTAAAACCTCTCAAAAATGCTAAGTAAGTGTGGTGAGGATGGACATCTTTGCCTTGTTTCCTATCTTGGGAGAAAAGCATTCAGCCTTTCACTGTTAAGTATAAGGAAGCTATAGATTGTTTATACATTTGTTATCAAGTTACGGTAATTCCCATCTGTTCTTAACTTGTTGATAGTTTATTATAAATGGATGCTGGATTTGTCAAATGCTTACTCTATCAATGAATATGATCTATGATTTTTCTTCTTTAGCCTGTGCAGTGTTGGGTTGCACTGCTTGACTTCTGAATGTTGAACTAGCTTTGCATACCTGGAATAAATCCCATCTGTTATGGTCTTAAACCAAGTAATAATATCTTTTAAGCTTAAACGTTATCAACGAAGAAGTACTTTATTCTGAAAATGAAAGCTCTTCCTTTATTAAGAGTATTTGACATTAGCCTAATGTTTCTAGAAAATTATCTGTGGCAAATATCTTTCAAGGAAAAACTAATTTTGTTTCATGAATTTCTTCTTGGTCACTTTCATTTATTATAATAATAGGTATCATTTATTAAATAGCACTTAAGCTGGGAACTGTATAGTTGCTTTACCAACATTATGTCTATTTTTTTTTTTAACCCTCACCGGAGGATATTTTCCCATTGATTTTTAGAGGGAGTGGAAGAGAGAGGGAAAGACAGAGAGCAATACCAGTGTGAGAGAAACACATCAGTTGGTTGCCTCCTGCACACGCCCTGACCAGGGCTCAGACCAGGGAGGAGCCTGCAATTGAGGTTCGTGCCCTTGACTGGAATCGAACCTGGGACCCTTCAGTCCGCAGGCCAAAGCTCTATCCACTGAGCAATCCAGCTTGGGCAGGTTATGTCTATATTTTACCTTTGGATATTTTTATCTTTATTTTTTAAGAAAATGAGGCTTCTTATGATGCAATATCTTTTTTAAAAAAAATAAGTTTTTGATTTCAGAGAGGAAGGGGGAGAGAGAGTGAAAGAGATAGAGAGAGAGAGAAACTTCAGTGATGAGAATCATTGATTGGCTGCCTCCTGCACGCCCCCTACTGGGGATGGAGCCTGCAACCTAGGCATGTGCTCTTGACCGGAATCAAACCCAGGACCCTTTGGTTCACAGGCTGACACCCTATCCACTGAGTCAAAACAGCCAGGGCATGGTTAATTATGTTGCCCCAGGTGACACGGGTGGTAGATGGCAAACTCAACCCAAAGCCAAGGTGTCTGGCTTCAAGCTTGTATCCTGCTTTACTATATGGTTCTGCTGTGTTTGTTTACAGATTCTCCTTTCCCATTTCTGCTTTTGGTGAGGAAATTTAAGAGCTTTTTTTGAATATACTTTCTCATTAGAAATCCCCTTCCCATCTTGCCATTTTCATTAACAACTGTCTTTCTTACGAAGTAATTTTGGGATTAAGAATTTTTAGAGTAGTATTTTTAATTATTTGTATATGAAAATTAGACTTTATTAACTTACTTTACATAGAGAATACACACACCACACATACATGCAACATACCTATTCATATACACACTTCTCATTATGATAAAATCTCTCTGCCTTAAAATTGTCAGCGTGAACAAATATTTTTCCAGTTTTCTGTTACACTTCTCATTCGGAGTAATGGCTTGATTTTTGTTTCAGCTTTTCATGTTTAAGAAAAGTTTGGAATTGGTGGAAATTATAAAGAAAAGGGAATGACTTGACTGAAATTAATTATAGTTTGGATAATTTTTCAACAACCACCACAACAAAATCAGGAGTTATACATAGAAAAAAAAAAAAAAAGAAAGAAGCACCTTCATTGCATATCCAAAAGTAAATTCCAGGTTGATAAACCTAGATGTCTGTACAAAAAGTTTAAAAAGTTTATAAAAAATGTAAGAGAATATATTTGTAATCTTGAGGTAGGGAGATATTTCTTAGATAAAATACGCAAATTTCAAGCCATAAAAAAACAGATGGATAAAGTTTAACTACATTTAACTTTTAAATGTAGACTGGCCAGGATGGAGATTTAAAAAAAAAAAAAAAAAGCTGATTGGGAGAGGGTGTATGCAATGCATCTAATCATCAGTACTATCCATTATAAATAAAGAGCTTTTATAGTAATCAGTAAAGGAATGAGCTAAGAGTACGAGCAAGCCATTTAGCAGTGTAGATTCCCACATGCCCTGTAATATACAACGATGCACTACCTCTCCAGTATTCAGGAAAACGGTACAATTTAAACTTTGCATAATTAAACACTAGAGTTAAACCTTTTTTTCCTGCCAACTGGTAGGTGTCAAAAGTTTATATCTGATGGTGTGGTGTCTGTGACTGTAGAAATGCGTTGCTGCTGATAGTGTGAATATGTACAGGGACTTTGGAAAACAATTTGGCGAAATAGATATCTATAGTAACTCAGAAGCACAAGAAGGCGTAGAAAGGTTTTTTATTGCAGCCTTATTCATAATTGCAAAAGAAATGAGAGGTGTTCATCAATAAAAAAAAAAATTAAATTGCAGAGCAATACAAACAATACAAATGGAAAAAATAAATAAACTAGACTTGACAACTTGATGTAGATAAATTCTCATGATAAATGTTCAATGGAGAGAGAGTTGCAACAGTACAATATGATATTTATATAAATTTAAAAATTACTCTGTATAGTCTAGGAAACCATGCATAGGTAGAAGTACATAGGTAGTAGGAGACGTGCATTTTTATTTATGCCTGGCCAGTGTGCCTCAATGGTTGAGCATCATGGTTCAATTCCTGGTCAGGGCATATCTCCAGTGGGGGGCGTGCAGGAGGCAGCTGATCAATAATTGTCTGGCCCCCTCTGAAATCCATAAAAATAATACATTTTTTAAAAAATGTGCATTTTTGGTTTTGTATACAAAGGAGGAGAGAGTTCAACCAAGGAAAGAGACAGGGGCTTCAACTGTATAGGGTCATATTTCATAAGCTAAGGAAGTGGTAGTGGTTATTGGTTATATTATTCTCTTGCCTTTTTATGTGTCAAAAATATTTAATTGTAAAATGTGAAAGGACAGGTAAGAGAAAGGGAATGAAGCAGGGGAATGAAGTTCAAATAAAGTGGGCTCTGCTTTCAAGGAAAGCTATTTCTGAGTGTAATTTTGGTTTTATCTTTTTCCTTTTTGAGCAATTGAACATATGATAGCTAACTTCTTTCTATTACTTAACCCTGACCTGGACTGGCAGATTTGGTGGTTAGAAAGTTATGCACAAGTCACACATCTGCCTTTTAGTTTGGTATGGTGTGGGGCTTTAAGTTGTATTTTACTTATTTTGGGTCTCTCTGCTTGCCCTACTCCTTTTTAAATGTTCTTCATTTGAAGAGTTGTAAGTAAGATATGCAAGTAGGAATTAGAGAGAGCAGCAAAACTTTTTTATGCTTTACATTTATAATTATATGGCATATGAATTTAAATACTAAATTTTAGTACAGCTAAATATGAGAGAATACTTTTCCCAAGCATTAATATTTACTCTCATAAGAGTAGACTCTCCAAATTAAAAAGTGTTGTTCAGTAATACCGCCACATTTCCCAAGTAAAGATGTAATTGTTTTTCTGATCCCCATTTTCCTAGATGCTTGCTTTAAGTCGTGTAACCACGTCACACCCATTCATCACTGCAGCAGATTTGATGGAGGCAAACCAGCTGTGTAGCATGGACTCTAAAGCAAATATTGTACATGGTGAGAAACCTACCTGATTAATAATTCTTATAGGTTTGTTTAATGGAGTGCATTTCATAATTAACCTTGGGCATAGTGCTTTATACACAGACTGCTTTCATATCCACACTGCCTTTAACTCGGCCCTTTGTAAGGTGTTGTCACCCCATTTAAAGTCCCTGAAAACTGACACTGCCTCCCTTGCCACATCCGAAGTCCAGCTAACACTGTATTTACTGCACCGAGTGCTAATGAAGAGCATGGGATTTTAGCCATTTGGGGGTTTACTGTCACTTTTGAGAATCTAATGAGCTATCTCTTTAGGAAAAAGAATTTAGATATAATTTCTTGGGATTTAAGGATTCTTTAATAATCAAGAGCCCTGTGTGAATTAAAGTTACATATGATTGCACAGTTATACTGTGTGGGCCATATGGTACGCGCTTAATTCTTCTAACATCTCCATAAGTTAGAAAGATCCTTATTCTGTTGTTATGAAAACTAAGCTCAGGGAAGTTAAGTAATTTGCTTAAGATAATATAGATGGCAGTTACTGAAACACGTTTGGTCCTGGGGGGTTTTGACCCCTTTCCACCCTTTCACTTCATCATTTTGTTTGAGGGACAGTTATTTCAGTCTTATGTATCAGTAAGTAAACTATAACTTATAGTTTGTTTCCCTTTTACTATAGGTCTGTCAGTCTTGGAAATCTGTCTTATAATAGCAATGAAACATTTAAATGACATCTATGAAGAGGAGCCCTTTAATTTTCAAATGGTCTATAATGGTGAGATAAGACTTGGGTAGTTTCTTTCTGACTCTGCCCCTCTGCTTATTGAAGATACTGACTTTGTCATTGTTTTCTGTCCAGAGTTTCAGAAGTTTGTTCAAAGGAAAGCCCATTCTGTCTATAATTTTGAGAAACCTGTTGTCATGAAGGTAAGATTCACTGTTATTTTTCTACAGGCTGGTATATTTTTATATCCAATTTGATTGTCTAGTTTAATTTTTTTTCAGTAAGTATTGTAAATGTATTTTCTCTTTGCTATAATTTTCTTAAAATTTTCTTTGTTCTAGCTTCCTTTATTGTAAGAATATAGTATATAATCTATATGACATACAAAATATGTGTCAATCAACTGTTTGTTATTGGTAAGGCTTCCAGTCCACATTAGCCTAGTAGTAAAGTTTTGGGAGAGACAAAATTATATGGGGATTTTTGACTGGGTGTGGAGGGTTGTTGGCACCCCTAACCCCCAGCATTGTTCAAGGCCTAACTATATATCATAGTTGCACAAAGTTAGCAGCCAGGTGTTTTGGTTTGTGGGAGTATACTGCCCTCTACTGTCTGCTCCTAACACTTACATCCTGAAAAGAAACATTTATAGTCTGTGAAATACATTGATACAGCCCTATCCCTTTATACTTTTATAATTTTAGCAGTAAAATCAATAAGGTGCAAATAATTTTAGCAGTAAAAAGCTACAAAAATGCTGACATGAGCCATTAAGAAACCAACAGGCGAAATCTCACTGGCTGGTGAAAGCATATAGAGAAGGCTTTATTAGGGGTTAGGTGACACAAGGGTTTTAAAACTTGAGAAACTTTATTCTTGTGTAATATGTATTATCCACTAAAAATATAATGTGAGCCATATAATATAATTATCAATTTTCTAGTAGCAACAAAAAAGAAAGTGAAGTTTATTTTAATAATAAATTTTATAGTCCCTAAATATTCATTGGAAATACTCTTTAGATTCCATAAAATTTTTAGCTAAGGAAGTAGATGTAGCCCAGGCGGTGTTGCTCAGTGGTTGACCATCATCCTATGAACCAGGAGGTCACAGTTGGATTCCCTGTCAGGGCACATGCCCAGGTTGTGGACTCCATCCCTAGTAGGGAGCCTGCAGGAGGCAACCGATCAATGATTTTCTCGCTCATCATTAATATTTCTCTCTCCCCTCACTTCCTCTCTGAAATCAATAAAAATATATTTTACAAAAAAATACATATTGAAATTGTTCTAAACATAATTTTTTTATTGACTCAGGCATCCGTTTTTAAATTCAACTTGATGAAAATGAAATAAATTAAAAATCGAGTCCCACATTTCAAATGCTCAATAGCCTTATGATTGCCTTATTGGACACCACAGCTCGAGGACTTTATGAGAAAAAACTTTTGTTTTAAAGCAATGGACCCATACATCCCTTGTAGACCTATGTAGTCAGAATTTTATTTCTTGTAGCAACCAAAAAGTGTTGGGGCATTGCCATTTCTTCACAATAGAAAGCGTATCTAGCACAGTGCAGGTGGGTTTTCTCCCCCTTCCTAATACCCATGTCTGTCTGATAGTCATGAAGTTGTGAATGGAAAAAGGGACCTGAGCATTTACATTCTTAGGAGTTTCTACATTTAAAAAACAAACATTTTTGCTGCCTATAAATATTTTAAATCTCCTTAATTTTATTCAGCCCCAGGCTTTTGTATTTTTCTCATTTTCAGAAGTGGCATCTGAGCTATTTCATCAGAAGAATTTTTATGATACATAGAGAATATGTTCTAATATTTTTCACAATAAAGCTGTAGGAATAGCAAGCTCAGGAATTGATTGTAATGTTAGTATTTACATTTAGTATGTCATGATTTAATGGATGTTTAATAAAATACCTAAAATAATCATCAGGGTTAAAAAAGACATAGTATGTGTGGTAAGAGGAAACAGAAGAGAGCCCCATTAAGGTGGGGAAGATGGAAGGGAACCCTGACGGGTGTGGCAGTCTCCACCAGACTCCTTGGGGAACAGGAGCTGGCCCCTCTCCATTGCGGTCCTCTGCTGAGTCACAAGGTCAGCTGACAGGCTCGCTGTGCTCCTAGGGCTCTTTCCTCTCCGCTGCATTAAACTTACACAGCAGTCTTACAAAAATACAAACAAAATGTAAGTGCAAATTGGAGTAATTTTAAGTCAAAAAATAATGGACTTAGTGGATCTTAGCTGGAAACCCTTCATTAACCTCATCACTAGTAGGCAATATGATATAGAATAAGATCAGAAACAAAAAGTGAGATTAGGAAAAATCATGGTGTGCAGACTGGATTAAAATGTGTCCTGTTTACCTTCAACAATATAGTGACAGATAACTATATATTGGCGCTGCTTCACCTGATATACAAGTTTTTACGGAGTTGATGGAGTGTTGTTTTTGCACCTTATTGATTTGTATTAAGTTTTGTTTCCTGTCATTCTATTCCACAACTGATCAGAATCCTTCACTGTTCTCTGGGTTGTTCCTCTAACGAACCTAAACTATTTTTTTCATCTTTCAGGCCTTTGAACACTTACAACAATTAGAATTAATAAGGCCCGTGGAAAGAACTTCAGTAAATGCACAGAGAGAGTACCAGCTGATGAAACTACTTTTGGATAATACTCAAATTATGAATGCTTTGCAGAAATACCCCAACTGTCCTACAGATGTTAGGCAGTGGGCAACATCCTCACTAAGCTGGTTATAAATATAACCCATGACTTCAGTAATGTAGTTTCAGGCAGACTTCTCTAAAGAACTAAAAGCTATTGTCCTTTAATAAGATGTGTTAATACATTTTTTATACTTATAGACATGTATTTTTGTATTTATGGGGAACTGTTACACAGGTAGTATTCTTGGCTATGTCATGCCTTTAAATCATAAGCAGTTACGTGATTTATAATTCTAGTAATTTAGACTATGTTGAAGTAGAAGTTAAATTAAATGTGACTATTTCTTAGATATTGAACCATATACTTATTTAACAGTTATTAAGTATTTTTGTGTTACATTTGAAATGTTCATTTCAGTCTAGCAGCCAATGTTTTTATAAACATTAAAGAAAGCATTAAAGAAACAACAGCAAGCATTGAGATGTAATTTTTTAAATTTTTTTCTGTACCATGGAAATGTTGGATTCTATTTCAGACCCAGGTCTAGTTCAGGAGCCTGGCCAGTTTGGCTAGAAGATGCTTCACACAGAAGTAAAAGGCCAAAAGTTTGGACATTTTCCTCCAGACTTCTCCGACTGTGGTACTTTATACTACCTACAGAAGAATCCCTTGAAGAGTTGAAGGATGTTCTTAAATGCAGATCCTTGGGCCTATTCTAGTCCAAAATGGTCAGAATTTATGTTTTTAAACAGGTACTTTATGAAATTCCTGAAAAATCACTTTCACAAAGACTGGGGAATGTTTGGCAGTGTTAACTAAATCTATATCTAAAAGAAAATCACAAGAGCAATGTGGAACTGTCAGCCAAAGGATCACCTTATAAATTCAGGAATCCACAAGCTAATACAGCCATATTTTTAAAGTGGAATATAATAAGCATTCGTTAAGTGTTGGTGACTTCATTTATTCAGGATTATTTGATTGCCTATTGTTTTCATGGAAGGTTTACAGAAGGCACTGTCCATAATCTTGTGCAGTTTATAGTACTTGTAACTGTCGAAGACGATAGGATGTTTCAGTGCGGTTACCTGCAGATGAAAAATGTAGCACAGCTGTGGCAGTGTTCAGTCACAGTTAGAGAACAGTATCAGAGCCCGGTTCAAATCAGGTTTGACATCAAAGTCCCTGCTATTAAGGTGTGAAATCCAGCAAAGGTTTCTTACCATGTGTTTTCTAAAGAATATTCCAGGAAATGATTTATCTGGTTTTTAAGAAGTCTTGGACATAGAAATATCTTTGTGTAATAAAAGTAACTCTAGTAGTTCTTCAATAGTTACAACCTATTGTTCTACACACTTAGCCAGTCATGCCCTGCCCCTGACTAAGTCTTCAGATCACTATCACTTGCTTTTCAGCAGTCTCGCTAAATTAAATCTAAGGCTTACATAATATTTCTGTGCAATACTCTAGATTTTTAGGGGATGCTTTGCCAACATAATAGCTTCACTATTGCTAGAAGCAAAGATTTCATTTTACACTTGAGCTAAAATTGACCTTTTAAAAATTTTTCTAAACTATTTTAAGACACTGACTGTATAAATACTTGGAAAACTGACTTGAGGTTTATAAATTTTTATTAGGCTAAATACCACTAATAGACTGAGAGCCCTCCCTCCTCTGCCTCCCTGGTACATATGAGCTACATTAGATCCATCAGCATGCAAGTATACAGATTAAAAAACTAAGCAGCAAGGTGGGTTTTCATACTCAGTGAAACAGAAAGCAAGCCATCCCCTTCTTAAGTCATCAGATTGAAAACCAGGTGTGGAAGAAGAATTCAGTGCAGTTTTTACCCATGACTCCCCACCAGGTGCCTAGCAAAAATAGGTTCTTATAAAACAAATCTATATAATAAAAGCCTAAGCAACCTGTTATGGCGGAAGGACCAGAACAACCGGTTACTATGACACACACTGACCACCAGGGGACAGACGCTCAATGCAGGAGCTGGGTTCACAGCTGGCGAGCGCAGTGGCAGTACTGCCTCCGCAGCAGCGGTAAGGAGCAGTGAGCAGGCAGGCGGTAAGGAGCAAGGGCTCCCTGACTGCGAGAGGGATATCCGACTGCCAGCTTAGACCCGCTCCCTGGAGAGGGTGCAGGCCGGGCTGAGGGACTCCCTTCACGCCCCACCCCTACCCCACCCACCCCCCGCCACCTGTACACAAATTTCAGATACCGGGCCTCATGTTTTAATTAAAGAAATACTTTCCAATTCATGTGCACATGCATATGAATGGCTCTGAGGAATGAAAACCTGTTTTGCAAATTTACTATGTCATAATGCTATATATATTAAGTGTATACTGTATTAGCTTCCTAATAAAGATAAATCAGTGTTTTGCAGAACACATTGTGGAAAACAATTCCAATATTCCTGTAGATTTCACCATTGTTCCCATTTTCATGTAGTTTAGAAGACAATGCAGGTTCTTTCAAACCAACATAACCGAAGTGTTCTCCCTTCCTTTGCCTTTACCCTAAAAACTTGAGAATCAGTGTGAACTGTAACACTCCATGTGGCATGGTGGGGCTTTTCCACTCCCCCTTTCTTCAAAAGCCATATTATAAACAAAACTTTTGCAACATTAAATATGTAAATGAAAGCTGGCTTCCTATTACTGATTACCCAAAGTGAAAATACCAGAATTCTTCCATCCACTTGGTAAACAGGTTACAAATTGGAAATATATATCTTTAAGGGCTATTTCCTAAGCCACATTTTTTTTTATTAACATATGAAGAAGAAACCTAATGCCAGCTAGCCTCTGGCTTCCTAAAACTGGCAGGACCAACATAAATACTTTAGTGGGAATACAATCTGCTTAGACGACAAAGGAACTGACAAGCCTTCCTTTCACCTTATCCCCATTCATGCAAATCTCAAGGTGGAAGCCTCACTATAAATTACAAAGCTACTATTCCACTCTTAAGAACATACAGCTAAAGAAAAACTGCATATGCAAATCATACTATATTCACTTTTTTTTATTTAACTTGGGGATGGAATGGGAATAGCATACATTTTATTTGTACAATATTTAACAATCACTTATCCAAGGTGGGGTTTAATGGGGCTTTTTTTTTTTTAGCTTTTTGTTAAATACTTGCAGAAAAAACAGCAAGTACAATTTGACAGTAGTACAACAACCTGTGCCCAAAACACTGACAAGAAATACAGAGTAAAGCTAAATAATTGCTTTCCAATATTTTGAGAGGTAACAAATAGGATATGGGTTTAGACTGCATAAAAAATGTACTGCTGGTTGAATATCTGAGGTAAATGATGTTCAATCAAAATGCTACTTGTATCATTTTGCCCATAAATCAGTAAATAATTTTATGCACATTATACCAAATGTTCCTAAAAAGTAATTTTTTTAGAAAGGTAAAAAAGAGAAACTGGAAAATATCTATGGTGAAGCAGTTTTTTTTAAAACGGTAATCAGTTTATCCCACCAAACTATCATCTGGCCAGGGTTTTTCCCCATAGCACCTGCATTTTACTTAAATGCAGTTGTTATGTAGAGATAAGGAAAGGGGGAAGAGATTCTTTTTTAATTTGATGATATATGATTCTATTTTAAATTCCAAATTTGTTGGGGTTGTTTCCTGATTGTATTTCCAAAACCATCACCATGAAGGATAGTTCATGGGACCAACAATTGTGAGGCACAGTCTCTGTTCTAGAATTCACAAGATACCTATAATAAACACTCAAACAAGAATCACACATCACATGCTGAAAACTTCCTAGCATCTAAAATACATACAAGAGCTGTGCAGGGCATTGACTTCGAATAAAGCCAAATACCAGTTAATCCATCAGTCCTATGGCAGTTGATCATAAAGCGTTCTTTAGATGAAGATCTGGGCAAGGTAAAGAGTGTAAGTTAGAGCAGCAGTCAGATGGGTATCAGAAAGGCTAAATACAAGACAAATCATAAGGAGCACCATACACGTGAGGAAAAGAAGTATTGGAGTCCATTTACCCCAAAACAAAGTCTTTTTTCTCATTCTTTGATCTTTCTTTTTTTAGTATCCCCAGCTCAAACGTTTTGTTGACTTGCCCACTCTGCCCCGACCTTAAACCAAACATGAAAATGCCCTGCAAAAGAAAGTTCTAACGAGACTGGGAATCAGGACAAGGTAGTCACCAGAACATTCTTACGTAACTGCTTGTAAAAAGTTTCTCTAATAACGTTCTCAAAAGGATACAAGCTTTAAAATTGGTTAGTTAAGTACAATACCCAGATTTCTAAAAAAAAAAATTCTAACGAGAAAAATTTATTTTGTGAATAACTGGTCTTATAAAACTTATCTCTAAGTACCCACATAAGACAAATATTCCTCCTGTTTTGGATTTTTAACTTTTAAAATCAGGATTAAATGTTTAGAACAGATGTAAATTAGTCTTCAGGAGATTAACAATTTCCATGTGTGGACATTGATTATTTTCCTTTCTTGATTAGTTTCAAAGTGAAAGCAAAACCATATCAAGAAATTGATAGGCAAAGTACTTTTTTTTAACTAAAGAGGTGAACTCAACATTGAAATGGGAATTACTAAAAATGACATGACAACTTGGGCACATGATGTGACCAAGAGAATGTTCTAGATGGTGTGTGGCACATGGGCAAGAATGCTATTACTCTTTTTTCCCTCTCTGCTTAGAGTCTGTTGACCTATTTATTTTTAAATAATATAACTTATTATTCCCGGAGAGTAAGTGCATATCATATGTAAAATGTAGTGTACTGTGTGATTAAATAGCCATTTACAGATAACACATTCACAGTGAGTGCCTGACAGTGACATGTAAAAAATCATTAAAGTATATAGTGTAATACTGGTGGTCAGTAATCTAGAAATTCAGGAAATGAATGTTTTACTTTGGCCTGAATAATTTGAGAAAGAATCCAATGATATTCTAATGGTATACTGTTTTGAAAAGCACTTTGACGCCTACCATCAATTCCATTTTCTTATCAAGGGTAAGGAATGAACTATCTTAAATAAATAGAGTCAGTTGTGAGAGCAATTTGCAGGAGGAGACGGCTATATGTGACCTATTTTCAATATTGGTTACCTCTAAATGTCATTGCATATTTTAAGTTATAGGTTTAACTTGTTATCCCTGATTTGTTTTAAAGTGGTAACATCTGAAATCTGTGCTTAAAATTTAGTCTCTATCCTAGGATAATTCTTTACATATCACAGACATCAAATATTACTCTGACAAGATGGCACCAAGCAGAAATATGGTGATAAACTTACAAGTCTCAAAGCAGAGAGTGAGGAATTCTGGGTAATGACACTTCCTGAGGTGATCCTAAAACAGTGATAAAGAATGTCCCACACACTGGTGAAAAGAAATACACTACAATTTTACATATATAAATAGGAAAAA